GGAATTTTGAGATAAAGGGCCTTAAAGATCCGAGTTTTCTAGAAAACCTTTTAAAGTCAGACCTTATTCAAAAACTTCTCTAACCATATGGTTGGATATAGCGTTCAATTCTGAACAAAATGACATATTGTCGGTATTTTCAAGATCCACCGTCCAAAATTAGCATTAAAAATACGAACAGTGCCTAAAAATGTCCGATTAGAAACTGAAAACGGGAATTTCACACATGAACATTTTGTAAAGCCTCTAGTTCAGTCATCTGAAGTCGGAAAAACTTGGAAACATCTCATTTTGTTTAAAAGTGACCTCTCTATCCAACCGTGTGGTTAGAAAAGTTTTGGGATAAAGTCTGACTTTAAAAGGTTTTCTAGAAAACTCGGATCTTTAAGGCCCTTTATCTCAAAATTCCGGCAAGGACCAAAGTTTTTTTCTTAGCACAGATAGTATTTGCAATGCTCTTTCATTTAAAGCCATCCACGTCAATTTTGGAGTAAGATGAGACCCGGTGTAAGTTTCACACGATGAGTCAAAATAGTTAGGAAACGGCAGAATTTCACTACTTGTGTTGAGAGATTAAAACGCCAATAACTTTCCAAAATAGCTATAGACCTGCGGTTTTCGCAATAAATTCAGCGCAGCACGCTCTACAAAAACCATGCTATCTCGCCGCTGGCGCCGAGGGTCTGTGTAATGGTGGTTTGTTTCACGCGGAGTCAGCCAACTTCAAAATATGAAAACGTATCAAATGATAAATGCAAAAATACTTTAAAAGAAGGAGAGTTTTGCGTGTAATAGATATGCGTGCATAAATGAAGGATGACTTTGTTTTTGAACCGCTGTATTTATTTACACAGTTAAGGATTTAAAGATCAGTATTTTGATCAGTATTTTGAATGAACACCCAGATGTACTGTAGTGATGTATGAAATTTGATGGATCTCTCAAAACAAAAATAAATGAGAATTGAAGATAATAAACAGAAACTACTAGTTTCTTTCAAAAGTAGTGTCAAAATCATAAGCTACAGTGCAAATTGTAAATTAATAATTATTATAGATAAGAAGTCACCGATGTCTGTGCAGTTGTCATTGTCATGTCATAAAAGAAAACGTTATAAATGTGAGATGATTGTAGCAACATCTGTTTATTCTGTCAACTGATATATTTGCCTATTTTTGCTGGTAGATGAAATAATATCTTATGTCGTAGAAATAAAAGTCCATTGCCATTAATCAGATAACATTCCAGAGCATTTGCTACAACTATCGTAAGTATTTTGTAGTGTCAGAAAGCTAGCTCAAATCAATCCATTCTTCCCTATGGAAAGCGCTTTCTGTTAGAAACCATATGCATATTGCTGTGGTATTCTTAAAGACAATATGTAGAAAAATTATAAATTATTTAACAAAAACTTAATTTACTTTTTTAATTCCTTTGAAGAGAGAATCAGTCTTCAGAAACTAACAGCATAGACATTTTAGATCCATCATTGAAACTTAATGCGATTGTTTGATGCTCAATGCTTTTGGTTTAGTAAGTATAAATCAGCTTCTTCACTACTGCACTACATCATATGCTTCTGTTTAGTATATTGGCTATTTAGCAATATTATTATTACTATCGTTGTTTTTGGTGATGAAAACGTGAATAATGATCGAACAACGTTGAAAAAAACTAATAAATTAAGAGATAATCGAAGATATGTGAAATTACCTGCTTCGATTACATATTCTACCGATTTCATTCATCGTATTTATACTAGTACTCCGACACAACAGTCGACTGTTAAGGATAATCGTATTATCTCTGTTCCGAATGCAACGAACTCTATAATTTCGACTTCTTCGTCAATCGAAGAATCTAGTAGTAGACAAACCGATTCAATTCTTATCACCGATGAACCAGTTCGAGTTATGATTGATATACATAAAAAAAACAAAGAGGTCAAAAAATTGGTCATTACCACTGAGAATTTGACAATATCAACAAAAACAGTGGCTAGTGCAACTACTAAGAATATTATTCGACCACAAACCGTTTCTTCTCAAACGAAGAAAATTAATAGTGTGATAATGAATCATACGACTACAACAGTTTTGCCAACTCATGGATCTAAGCACGTAGTACAAATTAGTGCATTTAACAGTAAGTTTGACGAATTTGGGAAAGAGAGTGTTGCAAAAGAATGTTTTAGAATTGGAGTAGTAGCACATCTGTTTTTTGCATTTCATCCATTTTTTTAGAATCGAATCATATCTCCTGTAAACAAGGCGAATTTTATATCCCCGGTGCTAATTCTAATCCATCACTGAAAGTTACATGCACATGTCGAACAATCAGAATCAAAAACACTCGAAAAATATTTCCGTGTCATTCTTGTAACTGTACAAACGTCGAACGATTTGATCTTTTACCATTTTCGACTTCTGTGGTCGATTTACGCTTGTATAATTCGTCGTTCACTGATCTTTCAACTATAAGAAAAGCTAAAAGTCGTTACAATCATAATGCATATATCAATCTTGAATTATTAGAAATTCATCAATCAAACATTAAAGAATTGACTTATAATGATATTGAACCATTAATAAATTTGAAAACATTAATTATTCGTAATGCATCAACATTTAAAAGTTTTACAAATAATACGTTTAATCGATCAATTCATTTAGAAACGATAATTGTCGAAGATACCGGTTTATATACGTTTCATGAAAATTTAATTCGATTCAAACAAAAAATAAAACTGTTAAAATTAAATGGAAATCGTTTACAGTGTCATTGTGACTTAAACTGGTTAAAAAAAGGCTTGTCGGATTATCAGTCGTTTATGATCGATGTTGACCAATGCTACTTTCGTGGTCTACCATTTTCATTACATATAATAGAACTATGCGACGGAAAATGTACTAGAACAACAGTATGTGATCCAAATGATACGTGTTTTGAAATTAAAATTGGTCATCTCAATTGGCATTCTTGTTCAAAACAACAACAAATATTAGGTAAAAAGAACGAGTAAAGTATGAAATTCGTTGAAACCGCAAATTGTTCTACAGATCTGTGTTTTTTAATCATTATAGAATCTGATTGTTCAAAATCTCGTCATATGACTCTACCAAACACTTGTTCTTGTCATCAGTCGGATATTCGCATAGCACCATTAAACAAAGTGTGTCGATGCAATTATCTAGCATCATTATCCGACATTCCCGATTCTTATGCATCACAGATAATTGATTTACATTTAACAGATCCATCAATTATAAATTTAAATGACAATAATTTATGTCGTTTTAAACTCTTACACAAACTACAAATTGATTCTGGTCGTATAAAATCTATTGATTCTCAATCATTTCGTCATAATCCATTGTTAATCTATTTACAGATAAAAAATAATCAAAATAAATTAATCTTAAAACATGATAGTTTTAATAATTCTTATTTGGAACAAATTCATATTGAAAAAAGTCATCTAATCAATATACCAAATAATACATTTTCAGTATTGAGAAAATATTTGAAAGAATTGAATTTAAATGGTAATAATATTTCGAAAATATCTTTAATAAATTTAGAACAATTAAAAAAAGTTAATTTGGCTAATAACGATTTATCATTATTAACCATAGGTGATTTTATCGGTTTAAAATCTCTTAATATAGTCGATATAACAGATAATAAAATTCCGTGTAGTTGTGGTAGTATATGGTTACAACAGTGGTCACGTCTTCAACCAAACATTTCAAAACTATTGAATCTATCATCGACAACAACAATTAATGGTGCAACATGTACAATGGGTACAAATTTAAAACTTGATTTTAAATATCCTTATTATGATATTTGTAATCCATGTCTTAATTACAAATGTCCAACAAATCAATATCGATGTGTAAACATATCAGGAACATATTCTTGCGTTTATCAATCAATAAATGAAAGTGAGTAATATTAAAATTATATTTTTATTATTCAAAAATAATAATTGATCGATCTTTTATTTAGAATATGACTGTAATCAACGAATAAATCGATCATATCCTGTATCGACACATTGTGATCGTTTTTTCTTGTGTAACGATGATAGTTCAGATGCCAAACTATTGACTTGTCCTTCACCATTATTATTCAATAATAATTCTCAACGTTGTGTATTTTCAAGTAAATCAACATGTAATACGATTGTATCAAAACAAGGGGGTAAATTATTTTTTTATATATAAATTAATAAATAATTGACTCTTTTAATTTTATTATTTAGATGAATCAAATTCTCATTATTCTTGCCCATTACAAGCATCATCAATTATTCCCGAAGAACATTTTAATACACGTTTAAATTTCATATGGGCAGATATTGAAAATCAATCAGATGAACATTATGGTCGATTTCAAACAATGGCCGAATTTATTGAAACAATTGGTTTTTATCGACATGATCGTCATGAATGTCAAGGATATCATAGATGTCATTATAATAAGTTTAACGGATTACTCGAATATTCTGACTTTTATCGATGTTCACCAGGAAAATTTTTCGATAATCATTATGATACGTGTCGAAACTATGATGATGGTGTTATTCTATCAATTCCTGATCAATATCAATCATGTCGCTGTAATTATGTGATGCAACAAATAAGACAAAATGATGCTTATTATCAAATGTATGGCACAATGCCACAACTTGAACAAGATGAACCCGATCCGTGTAGTTATTATAAATCTTTTGTTTGAAATACTTTTATTTTTAGATTTTTTCAGACTAATAAAATATTTTATCATTGTCCGCCTCCATCACGTTTTTTTTCTTTAACGTACAACTTATCAGTAAAAAACAACAACAAAATAACAGATAAGAAAAAAAAAATAACACATGCAAAATAACAAATAAATTAATCAAGTGATAAAAATTATTCCATCGATTAAATGTCTTTAGAAGAGTTTTGACTTGCACGAAGCTTTTGCAATAACGGTCCATATTCAAGAATTTGTTCACTGGTAAGAAATTGATCTGAAACAAATCATAAATAAATTATTTCAATTTTTAGAGATTACAAATATATATATATTTGTTTTATCTTACCATATTTTTGAACTAAATGAATCATTTGTAAGATATTGTTAATTACTTCATCATGTTGAATATCTTGATTTAAAAATTGTTTTACACTTTCATGAAAATTGGCTTCAATTAGTTTTTGTCGCACATTTTCTAAGAAAAAAATCAATTGAATTTCAAAAATAATTATATTGAAATCGAATAATTAACTTACCATCGCTCATAATCAAAATGATATTCAATGCAACTAATGCTTCATTCTGTACTAAACTACGATTTTGTACTTCACATGACGCTATTGTTGATAATATCAAGGGAAATGAATTTGTGCGTGCCATTGCTTTTATAGCATCGGTTGTTCTTAGAGCTATTGGCATCAGAAACAGAACACGTCGTGCTTCAACTAAAAGTAGAGGAAAATACATGTGATTAGTTAAAAGAAAGAAAAAGAAAAGTACAATTTACATTGAAGTCCAAGATGATGGGCGTTTCCATTTTCAACAATTTGTGTAAGTATTTTATCATCGAATAATGATAATTTTGTCGTTTCTTTTGCTTCACGTAATAGAAATCTCAATACTCCAGTGGCTAAAATTAAAAATAATAATTTTTTTCAAGTTATGATTTTAAAATGTGAAATATCCATACCCTTGTATGCTATTTCACCATCGAAATGTCTACTAAACATGTAGGGGATAACCACATCTGCTACATCATTATTGATTAACAGTACATGATTAGATTCTAAATAAAAAGTGAGGCAATTAATAAAGCAGTTGTTAAATTATGATATCAAAATAAGACTCACTAGGTACTGCAAGATTTCTTAATGCTCCTAATACGCCATGTGCCACTTTTGCTTGCTCATCACTCATTGATGCTAGCTGATTTTGTAACTGACTTGAAAATAATTGTAAACGTTGAACTAATTTCAAATGTGGTTGACGGGCATCTAATAAAATTCCCGTAGCTGCTTGATCATTACGTGTCAAATTTGTTATTATCAATGCACCAGTCATATTTAGCTGTAAATTATCTGTCTCTAACCATTTGATACCACATTCAAGTAAGTCGCGTTCCGGACGAGATAGAAGATGATCGATTGCTTTGTCTAAATAATATACCCATATTAAAGTATTTGAATTTTATCAATGAGACTTATGAGAAAAAGCAAACCTGTTGTAATCAATAAAATTAGTATATAACATGTTTCTCTAAGAAATTCTTCATCTTTTCCCGCATACTGTTCGCATAATGTGATTAATTTAAAATACAATGATGAAGAACACAATTCAGCTTTCATACTATCTTAAAATAAATTAATGTACAGATCTTTTTATAGTGATAAAAAAAACGAATTATCGATTCACAAACAAACCTTCTTCTGCTGCTTCTAAAAAATACGGCAATAATATTGCTCGATTTTCATATATCACTGATTCAGATAATGTATCGCCAATGGAGAAGAGAAAACGACTTGATAATAAATTTTCGTATTCTTGTAAGAAAAGAAAAAGTTTAGAATGAATGCAACATTAATCCTTGTCTGTAACATCCTACGTTTATCATGCTGTAGTAAATTTGTACAAATTGAAATTAGAAAGAGAAGAATTCTTGGTTCTACCAAAAATGGTAAATACAAATGAAATATTTTATAAACATCTAATGTTAACGTTTTCTCAGCCATTTTCTCTATAAATAAAACAAATGAATAATACATATACATGAATAAAACTCAAAAAAAATAAATACCATTCGAATTGACAATATTGTGTAATGCACCCAACGTCATCATGCGCAATTGTGCGCCTTCTTTATCATTTGTTTTACAAGAAATACGACATAAATCAAGCAAACGTTGAAGACCAATCGATTTGTCCATCAATTCACATCCATCACCTGGAGAAAAATATAGTATTCATTAAATAAATATCAATAATAGCAAAAATAGCATACTATTTTCGTAACACATATTTCCCACAGCTCGACAACTCTCAATTTGTTCTTGTAATGTTCCCGTTTCAAATATGTCGATTAACGGTGTGAAAAAATCATACGAAATACATTCTTTTCGTTGAGTTTCTAAAGTTGAGAATTAAAAAAAATAGTGAATTATTAGTTATTAAATGGATTGACTGTTATTTACCTTCTTTACATATCTCAGCTATGATTCTTATTGCTTTATGACGATATACAATTTCTTTATTAAGTAATTGTTTTAGTACATTTTTATCGATTGTGTTCACATTTGGATTAGTTGATGCACCTAAAAAGGAAAGTTTCTTTTCTGTTCAGAAACGCAAAATGTTAAAAAGAAAAATACTAACCAACATTCGATGATTGTGAATCATAAAAAGATTTTAATATCTGATCTAAATCTTCTTCTTTATACATTAAAAATTACTCTTCTATTAAGATATTATAAAGCAATGTCTTCCTTCGCCTCTGTTCATCTGTAGTCCAATAATCTGGAAAATAGAAAACGCATCAAAAAGACAATAAACCAGTATCATAATTCTAGCCAATATTCTTTTTCTGAAAAAAGTCTTTTACACAGTACAACGACGCGAAAAATTTGATTGTACTTCCAGGTAAAATGACGAAAAGCTTGACAAAAACCGTTCTACCACATAGCAATCATATATTCAACTCAGGCTCGCCTTAAAACCTATCTGAGACGCAACAATGTCAGACATACATTGCAAAACAACAACATTCTTTGTTTAGAATGGCTAATAATAAAAACTTCAATAATGAGAGCATTGAGCTGCTCATAATCACTATCTAAAACTTCATTTTAATATTAAGCTTTTTCTCTTATATATACAGAATATCAATAACTCCTTGCTACCAGTCTCGAATTTTAATCACCGATGATCTCTCATACTGTCACAGTAACAACCTCATATAACCACATAGATAATGGCGACGTGTTTATAACGCATTTATGCATTTTTATTGTATTGGTTATCTATGCCGTCAAATCTCTTTATACTATTACCTTATTAAATAAATAAATGCATTTACACAACAATTGAATTTGCTTTCAACTGACTCTTTTTCTCTGCCTTTAGTTCTAAAAAAAAGATCAAGTTCTTCTACTACTGTGATATCTTTTTTTTATTACTACTAAAAATTAAATATGCATGAATAAGTTAGAAAGGTTCGAGATAGATTTTTAAATACATATTTACGTAGAAGACAAAAAACATGGTTAATACGCGAAGTAGTCATCCAAATCATCATGATGATTCGACATTGACAAACGGATCCGGTAGTAGTAAATTGTACAATAATGATCGACGAGCAAGAACTCATGTAAAGGTAAAGAAAGTACCGTAGATACAACTGATAGCTAAATGATTTTTTGTGTTTAGAAATTGGTTGCATCAGATCAAGAATCTTCAAATGATTCATTTGGAAATTCGAAAGCACAATCTCGTTCATATTCTCATTCACATGTATGTTTCGTCTATTTCTGTAGAATATAATTTAATTTTTTGTGTTTTTAGCGTGTTTTACGTCAACGAGTAAAGCGGCAAGCCTATCATACTGATCATTATTTCGACGACGATTTAGGGTTAGTTTATGTTTAGCTATTATGTCTTAATACTATGCTGTTATCAGTTGAACTAGAAATATGACAGAGGTGCAGAATCTCCCAGAATTTCTTTGAACACCGCTTGCACTGATATGTAGACTTAGTTATAGAATAAAAAAAGCGTTTTAGTTTTTCTGTACAATTCAGTGTAGAAGTAATCATGTGCATATCTTCTTTTAGAGAAGATGAACAAACAAATGATGCAAAATACTCACGTCGTCCACGAAAAAGTATTGATTTCTATTAAACATTTTTGATTTGCTGATAATCAGGCTCATCTTATTTTTTGACAGGCGAACGAATAGTAGAAACGTCAAACAGTACCATAGAAAACTCGACAACACGACTAACAAACGGAACACGCTCGGTAAGCAGAAGAAAAAATTTGTTTTGTATAAATTTATCTTATTAACGACATTTAAAGTAAGAATAACTTGTAGTCTAATATTCGTTATCTATATATAGTGTTTATCATAAAGCATACTATGTTTTTTTTGTTTACTTTTATTGTAATCAAGTTCGAATAGTCGGGTGTTTTTGTTCAGATAAACCCGAACTAAATAGTAGAATTATAGTATGTCAAATTTTTCTGTATGAATTATAGAAAACACTAGCTCATATCTAGTGAGATTTCTAAAGAAGTAAATCGAATCTATATAGTTTTCCCTTAGATTAGCTTCAATTTCACATTATGGAGAGTATATATCTTGTTCAGTAAACCAACGAAGAAAAAAATGAATGAGTTGTAATGAGTTATAAGTATTGTACATTTTTTTCCATGTGTTTTTAGTCTAGTTTATCGATGTACGATCGTGTGAAAAGACGACGAAAAGCTGATCATCGAAGTTCAATAACATCTGATGAAGATTTGGATCGAGATGACGATGAAGAGCAAGAGCAAGAAGATGAAGTTCAAGAACAAGATGATGATGAAAATAAAGAGCCAGCCCTTTCACGAAAAAGTCGATATAAAGAAAGTGAAAATAATAGTGCCGCAACATTGGGACAATCGGGTAAGTTTACAAGAAATTTTGAATTCAAAGACCTTTATATATTTTTTTGTTGAAGAACTTGAAGCAGATGTTACTAAAACCGGAGATGAAGATGAGTCAGAAGAAGAAAATGAACAACAAGATGGACCTCGAAAATATTCATTGTGAGTGTGTTTTGTTCATGACACTCTATAATAAACGCTTTGTTAAAACAATGTCCTCTCTTTTAGGAGACAAAGAAAACCGCCACCACAACATTATGCGTACATTTACGGTAAGTTAAAGAATTTCAATTATTCGATCCTACATTAACGGATGAATGAAATTTTTATTTACTACAGTGACAAACATTAATTTATGCAGTTAGACTATGTTTTTGTTCTAGACAAACCAAGACGAAAAATACAAAAAACTATATTTTTTCGCGATCAACAACAACCTTCAAAATCTAAGTCTCAAATTATGTCAAGAAGATTGTCAAGACGGAGGTTTGCGTTTTTATTTAATTTCTCTTGAGAATATTCAATACATATTTTCTAATTTGTAGAAGACGTGTTTCTGCTCATGGTAGCTCATCTGATGATAGTAGTTCTACGACTGATAGTGAAACAGGACCAATCACTGCTGGTGATTTGACATGTCGTCCTGAACAACGAATGCGAAAGGCCAAAAGTACAGCTATCAATCGAATGAAGTATGCTAATGTTGCTAATCACTTGTTTCAACCAATTTGTTCTTTTCATATTTTTTAGATGTTTACCAACAAATATTGATCTACTTAGTGTTTTAACATCATCAACAAAAAACCGCAACATAGGTGGTACTGGTAACAATATTGGCGATAGACACGCTTCTCGAACAGGCGGTGCATCATTGGCGGATGTTGAAGCAATGGAAATAGATCGATCAGTAATTTCTCGATATACTCTCAGACAAGAAGTCAAAAGTGCTTTTTATCGTCTTCTCTTATAGATTACATTTGATGATATTGGAGGACTTGATCACGTGATACGATCATTAAAAGAAATGATTGTTTTACCATTAATGTATCCAGAATTATTTCAACATTATAAAATTAGACCGCCACGTGGTGTTTTGTTTTACGGTCCTCCTGGTAAGAGAAAAACAATATTCAAAATTGCTTGAAAAAATATTATTTGTTTTGTCTTTTCAGGGACTGGTAAAACGCTTGTTGCTCGAGCGCTGGTAAATGAATGTTCTGGTCCAAATCGTCGTATTGCATTTTTTATGCGAAAAGGAGCCGATTGTCTATGCAAATGGGTTGGAGAATCAGAAAGACAATTACGTGTATTATTTGATCAAGCATATCAAATGCGTCCATCAATTATATTTTTTGATGAAATTGATGGTCTAGCACCAGTACGTTCGGCCAGACAAGATCAAATTCATGCATCAATTGTGTCCACACTGTTAGCATTAATGGATGGTTTAGACAGTCGTGGCGAAATTGTTGTCATTGGAGCAACAAATCGTTTAGATGCAATTGATCCAGCATTAAGACGTCCTGGACGATTTGATCGTGAATTTCGGTTTTCCCTACCAACTTACGAAGTATATTTTCTACTTTAATTTTAAATAAATTATATAAACACATGTTTTCAATTTAGGCTAGAAAGCATATATTGAAAATACACACAAAAGATTGGGAATCAAAGCCACATGAAAATTTTATTAATGAAATAGCTAATCGAACAGCGAGTATGTTTGATAAAACTTTTTAATAGAATTTTTAAATTTTTTCTGTTTTGTTTTTAGGTTATTGTGGTGCAGATTTAAAAGGTTTATGTCAAGAAGCGTTTCTGTCAGCACTCCGTCGGCGTTATCCACAAATCTATGATTCAAGACAAAAATTAAAAGTGAATCCACGTTCATTAAATTTATCACGTGGTGACTTTTATTCAGCACTACATCAAATTGTTCCAGCATGTAATCGAAGTAATATGCATCCAGTTGGGCGTTCATTAGACATTCATCTGATTCCACTGTTGAGTGAACAATTAGATTCGTGTATGAAATTGTTAGAAGATATATTTTTCAAACGTAGTACCAATGCTAATAGTGGAAAATGTAAGTGTTCATATGAGATTGCGATAATTTCAAGCTAAACAAGATTGTGTTGAGAATAGCTGAAGAATTGATTGAACTGTGTATACAGGGATTCTTCTGACATATAAGTTTTCAACATATGGGATACGATGGAAGGTTGTTTCATATTTTTGAGAGCAATACGTTTCTTATGCTCTCTATGCGGTCTGAGATAAATACCTAATTTGGTGTTTAGTAAGCAACAAAATACCATTCGAAAGTATTACAGAAGATCGAATAAATAATCCTTCGACATCGTCTTCTCTACCAGTATCAACGTTATCTTCAACAATGGGCTTCCATTCAGCATCGTATGCAGCCAGTTTACATCGAAGTGCTACGTAAGTTTTATTTGCTCAACTTTTCAATCATTTTGTTGCATTCATCTGCTTTCTTTAGTTTTACAATTTTAAGCGCTCCATCTAATGGTTTATGCCGTTTTTTTACACCAGCAGTTGTACAACAATTGGATTGTGCGTTTTATGTGTTTGAATTAGGCTATTTGCATGGACAGAATAGTAGAACACCTGAAGAAGCCTGCGCACAAGTGAGTTCACATTTTCTCTGTTTAATCCAGAGAGTATTATTAGATTAATTTGATGTTTTCTATAATAGTTATTTGCTGAAGCAAGACGTAGTTCACCAGCTGTTATTTACGTGCCTGATATCGAAAACCTTTGGCCAAAACTGTCAGATTCTGTTCAATACATGTTTATTAGCAATGTTCGTACATTACCGTCAAATTTACCTATACTTGTTTTAATGTCAGCCGAAACATTTTCGATTGACGATCTTGATAAAGATGTAAGTTTACAGATGTACGAGATTACGGTTATATTACAGTCGCTTATTCATCATTCTAGCTTCAACAATTGATATCACCAAAATCAACGTTTTCTCTTTCACTACCAAGTGAAAATGATCGTCGTGCATTTTTCGCTCCGTTATTTTGTGAAGATATGTATCTTATACAAACGACAAATTTTTTACCACGTAATTATATTCTCAATGTAACATACTGTAATGTTGCTAAATCTTGTTCTTATCATTAAAGAAGATCAATCGTATGAGGAACTGGAATTGGAAGAACCAACTCAACCATTAATACCGGATGAGCGTGAATTACAACGGATAAGACAGCGTGAAGTAAGCAACCCTTTGTTAATTAGTTGACTGTGTTACTCCCTCAAAAAGATTATACTTTTGTAGTATATTGCAAATGATTTCCAGCTGTTTTGAGAAGATAGGGACTTTTTCTTTTCGTTATAGGAAGCAACAATGTGCGAATTGAGAGTATTTCTTCGTGACATCCTGAAATTATTAGCTCGTGATAAAAAGTTTACATATTTTTCTCGTCCAGTTGATCCTGAATTGGTTCCAGATTATTTTGATATTGTTAAAGAGCCAATGGATTTTACAACATTGTATGAAAAAATTGATACACATGGGTATACAAATGTTAAACAATTTGAACAAGATATTGATCTGATTGTAACAAATGCTTTACTGTACAATCCGAATAATACAAATCAAGGTAAAGTAAAGAAAAGTACGTTCAGTTGATAATAATTTTTATAGTTTATTCTGATTATTTTAGGTCGAATGATTCGTCATCGTGCTTGTGAATTAAGAGATTATTGTCAATATTATATTAATGCAGAATTGGATCTTGATTTTGAAGCACTTTGTCAACAAATAACAGAATCGAGAAAACAGCGAGGTATGCGAGAGTAGATATGACTGTAAACCTATTAACTTCAAATCTTTGTTAAAACGTGAATTTCAGACAACAATAACATTCTAAGTTCAATTTGTAGTCCTATGAGTAAAGTGCCTGACAGCTAAAAGAGTGCGAACACTGAGATTTAGCAATATCTATACGCTTTAACGCGCTAAGACCACTGTTTTATGTTGTCTTTGATCTCACTCTCATATTCTCCACACTCTTTTAGCTATTAAGTGTTTACACATTCGAAATTGGATGTAGAATGTCATTATTTTCTAAAAATTCATGTTTCATCGACGATTTACAGTCGTCCATGGAAAGCTCAAAAATTCACTAAGAACCCTAAGACGACTGAAAAATCAAAAAACAAAATAGAAAGAAGGAAGAAAAAATCTAAATTGTAAGATGTTGACCTACACTCTTATAGTTTTGCTTTCAATAATCATAAAATGTTCATTTGTCTAGGTACTGTCGCTATACCGCCACTCTTCCATATTTATTCTTGAAACTATCAATTTTTATTCACTCACGTATCTTCTCTATTCCATCTATTTACCCTTGGATCAAAATTTTGTGGCTCTCAGAAATTTGAATTGATTTATTGCGGATGATAAAGAAAAATTCTCAGACTTCTCAAAACTCTGAGTTACTCTTCTAAATTAGCATTATTATATCTTAAATCCTCCTGACTTTTAGTTATAACCGTAACATAGATGTATCTTACTCGTTATCTAAACATTTTGTTTTTGTTATTAAAACAGGCGACGATCCACGAGCATCATTGCCCGATTATGTATTTACAGAGCCTGTAGATCGTCATACAGAAGATAATACTCATGATCATTCATCAAATCATTCAAAACTTATGGATTCGACATCACCAGCAACAATAATGAAAACATCATCAATGAAGGATGGACGTGACGATTTAATGGATTCGACATCTGCACATATTTCATCATCTTCATCTCCATCCAAAACAACACCCTTCATTATAAGCATACCCAATATTAAGATAAATGGTCCGACACCATTTTTGTTCTCAACTACTGAAACAAACAGCACAAAATCAGATCATTTGAGAGTAGAAAGTTCATCAACAGCATTTATCGATTTACAATTATCAAATAATACAAGTTTAACATATAAACCCGTTGTATCATTGCGTACAAATAAGAAACGGCGCAGTGGTGATAATCGTCGTTCAAAAATGAAAAAACAAAAGAACGAAGAGAAACAACATAATACAGTAAGAAAAACTAAGTTTAACCATATTTCTGGTATTTGATTCTCTCCGATGACTTGTGTCCTACATTAGAAATTTCGGACCTTTTTGGATTCTGAAGTAGTTTAATAAATTAGTCGAAATTATTACCTTTAACTTCGTTTTAGGAAACGGTTTTACCTGTTGAAGACGCTGCTAATTCATCAGGGATACAAGAAGATTCTTCTTCCAATAATTTAGAGCAACTGCGGTCATCCTCTTCTATGTCGCTTGGTATCGATAATTCTGTTGTTAATGGTCACCATTCATCGCAATCATCGTCATCCTCTCCAATTGAACCACCACTTCAACAATTGCCTAGTACAAGATCGAAACGATCCATATCTATATCGCCATCAAAACTGAATGCTGTGAAATTAAATGAAACGGCTGACGAGCATAGTAAAACAAAACGTCGACGCACTGAATCAAATACCCGTGTAAGTTTTTAACATATCGCCCTTGCAAGACTAAAAAATTTATTCGGTACTGTTTTTGTAGCCACTCATCTCCATCACGACGAATCATCATGTTGAATTGAATTCAATTGACAGTGACATTGAAATACGAAAAATACTGCATGAACCTCTATCGCTTAATTTAAATTATTTAGTTTCACATACGAATGGTTTTGGTATTGAAAGATTGAGTTCAATCTGGTTTGATGTATATGATTATATTGAATCATTTCGATCTCAGTTACCATTGAATCAGAATAAAAAGGATTTTACTCTTCACATGTTTGAGGTATTTTCACAGTAACTTATCTAAAATTAATATTAAATTTATTTTCGGATGTTTTTTATTCTAGAAACTAGCTCATATAATTGAAGAATTATGTTTAAATGCTCAATAATCGACTGTCTCTCTAAAATTATATCAACATAAATACTATTTTTGGACGTGTATATTCTAGTCAGTTTTCTGATGGTAACGCTAACAAACTCAGGAAATAAAAATCCATTGTGTAATCGTTTTTTACTCAGGAATTCACTTTCGCTTCTATTTTTCTTATGTACATCATTTTGTTGTCTTCTTGCTTTCTTTTACTTTTCTCTTTATGGACATGTACATTTTGTTTTGTATTCCTGCCTCTCTCTGTTTCTCTCTCTCTCTCTCTCTCTCTCTCTCTCTCTCTCTCTCTCTCTCTCTCTCTCTCTCTCTATCCATTTCCATCTCATACCTAAAGTCATCAATCGAATTATGCATTAGTAATCAGACGGTAAGGCCGTCATTCTGCAAAGATATATCACAATTAATTACAATTCAAAGAAAAAACTTTTTGTAATGAACTGTTCTATTTTGTCAGATTTCTTTATAGATTTCTTTTTTTTCATGTTGTTATTTTTTTGTCCTACTATTACACAAATAACGAGGACTTTTTGTTATTAGAATAACATAATTGTGCCTCCTGATCTGACTAAAAGAATAATTTAGTGTATTCTTCTATAGAAAATGTCTGTCTTTCGTTTACATGTTCTCACTTTTTGTGTGTGTGAAAAAATGTTTTTTTTATATTTTGTATATTTTGCTTGTAACGTTATTTGAAAGAAATCTACCTATAAACAATAATACAAAATAGCTAGTCACATGCGAAAGGTGAATAAATAATAAAGAGGTGGATATTTCTTCAATCTAAATATATTGTAGACCCTTATGCTTCTTTTCAAGATACTATGAGGTCAAACTGTTGTACTACCAGTTTTTTTTTGTAAAGAACATCGTTCAACTCACAACCGGCTCTTTGATTGCATTATTTAAATTCTTTTCGTTAATCCGTCAGTTACATGGTTTTTTGTTGATAAAAAAATGATAAAAAGTTTGATTTTGTTACTACTCGACGGAACATAAGCGAAGGAAGGTGTATACATACATGGTGATTCTACATGATGGCGCTGCGATACTTGTAACATGAGCGAGAGGGAGAGCCTGACTTATAGCCTGACTAAGAGAAAAAGTCATAACAGCTGTAATTTGAGCAAAAGCTCAAAACGTATATATATGTAAGAGCCATGTAATCAAAAAGTTAAACATATACTGTCTTTCTAGAAGCACTCACGATAAACTATTTAGCTTCATTCTGCTATTATTGAAATTATTTATTTCGTCTTTATTTCTTTTTCAGATGGCATCGCTTGTATCGAGTAGGGTAAGTACATGTATCCATTAACTCCTCTGCTTTTTCTAATGATAGTTTAGAAGTTCAATTTTGTTTTAAGGTTATCCAAATTTCGAATGTTAGTTGTCAATGTATGAAAGATCAATTGAAGGCTTTATTTAGCTTTTTTGGTCGAATTGATGATTTACAATTGTATCCTGACAGGTAATGACGGCGTACAAAATTGAAATTCTAACGCTGACTATCTGTTTTATTTTATTTTATTTAAAGTGATACTGTTGCATCGACTGTCAACGGCAAAGTTGGATTTATCAAATTTGATCGTCTTGATGCTGTTTATGGTGCTTTAAATATGACAAATACAATATTTATTGATAAGCCTCTTATTATTACACAAGTGTTTGAAAGTAGGATTTTGTCTTTATTTAAACTATAACTGCACACATCTTGTTTTGACATATTTTAGATAGTATTCCAGATGAAACAGAAGCTATGAACTATTGTGCACCACTAAATCCAAACGTGACTCTTATTCCCGGTGGTCCGACATGGCCGAGTACAGGTAACTAGTTTGGATGACACAAATACGATGCATTTTTTATCTTTGTGTTTAACTTTTTAATTTTAGTTATAAATCGTATTGTTGGTCAAGGACCACAGTCGTTGATTGAAACATTTGATCCTGAATTAACTGATAAAAATTTACCACCTTATCCATCATTGCCTGGTTCATTAGACCATTCAAAAGCTGAAGAAATACGTCGTACGGTTTATTTATCAAATATAGATAAAAATGTAATATTAAGTAATAGTTAAAATGTAATATAATATTTCTAATATATTTTTTACCATTGTTTAGGTTGGATTGGATGTATTACATGAATTTTTAAGTCAGATTGGCGAGATCCGTTTTATACGAGCAGCATATACGGATGAAAATGCTGACGTACGTGGTGCATACGTCGAATTTAGCGAACAACCGTCTATACCAAAAGTACTTTCAATCAATGGCTTTTCTTTATTCGGGAGACCACTCAAGTAGGTTTATATTATAAATTGTATTTTTTGGGTCAATTAAATTTTCTAATGATTCTTTTTCTTTCAGAGTTAATCATTCAACATCGTGTGTAATAAAACCTGCTACTACACGTGGACTGCGCAATGGTAAGTATACTCTTTTATTTTTCCACTTCACATTGTGTTCTAAGGGTTTTATTTAATTATAGATGACGATGAAGGCAGCCGCTCGCGAAGTCGTACACGTTCACAAACTCGTTTAAAAACGCGTACACCTAGTCCGATAGTTAAGAGATCCAAGGATCTAATATCAAGTAGTTTTGATGATTTGAACAATAATGTCACTTCAACGTCAAACAATCGTCGTTCATCATCTAGAGGAAAACGACGTTCACGTTCAACAAAACGCCGACATGGTTCATCATCGAAATCAAGATCAAAACATCGTTCACGGTCAAAATCAAGAACAAAAAGCTCAAAAGCAGCTAAATCTAGTCGACGTTCGTCAAAATCGCCCTCGTCAAGATCAAAGAAACGTTCACGGTAAGTCAATTCAACTTAATAATTAAATTATCTATTATATTTATCCATTCTTTAACTTTTTATTTTTTAGATCTCGTCGTCGAAGTCGTTCGAAATCTCGTGATAGAAAAAAAGAGAAATCTCGTTCAAAAAAACGTTCACGTACACGTTCTAAATCGCGTAGCAAAAAAGATTCATCTAGTGCACGTAAACGTTCGCGATCCAAATCTAAAGGTCATAGTTCAAAAAGAGACAGTGATCGTAATGGAGATGATGATCGTAGAAAGAAAAAGAGTCGAAAATAAAATGATTGAATAACATTTTGCAAATGCTTTCAATTTCTTTTTTTTATCTTGTATAAAGTTTAGGAAAGTTAAGTTGAACTTAATATGTTCTTATTGTATTGTAATTGTTATAACTTCATTTGCTTATTCATCAAAAAAACTGCTTTGATGCGTTACCGTTTTGTATGAACTGTTAAAAAATAAAAACATTTGTACATAGTGTTTATTCGGAAAGGATATATGATGATAAATTTTAAGTTTTTTGTCATAGATAAAAAAAAAGAGATATTCCTTTTGGTTCGTAGTGAATAATATTTGTGACTGAAGTTTAAAAAGAGAACAAATAAAAAAATTACTGTATCATTCGATTCTTATACATATATATATACTAGTCAAGATGTTTATATTCCTCCTATTGTTGTGACTTTTGTTATTCGAAATAATAAGTTTGTAGTTATTATAATATTTAAGATATGCATGACAATTATTTGCACGTATGAGTATATATCGTTTAACCAAAAATTTATTGCGGAAGGACATCTTCTGTTCATTGCCATCTTCAGTAGTTTATTTTAATTGTATTCCATCATTATTTTGTTCAAAATGTTTGGTTTATTTTCAACAATATCGTACATTAGGTTATTTACCAATTTTGTTGGGTAAATGGCCAAAACAGAATAATTATGTTAAGGGTATTTTTACTCAACAATTACGAACACTTGATACATCGCCATCATTATTATTACGAAATGAAAATGTTCAAACAATTTATACGCAAACAGTTAATATATCAAAATCTGGTAGAATAGAAATTAAATGTCCGTTTAATCTTTATATAACACCAACGGATGTCAAAGATTTTCCACGTGGAGACAAAGCATTTTTTACCATTTATGGTATATAAAATTTAGTTTCTCGATTTAAAAACGAGTTGTCATTTGTTATTTCTTTTCTATACTGTAGGTGACAGTGGATTTAAATACACAAAAGAGTTTTGGAATAAATTATTCAAATTCTCAGCCATATTTAATGAGGAAGATAAAGTGTTACATATCAACGGACAGTTCACTGAGTTAGGTAATAATCGTTAAAATATTCATTTTTTGTATACAGGACACTAGCAGATGCCATGTTTAGCGTTTTTTAGGATTTAAAGAATTATTAGAACAAGCGCACACACTCGAAGTTTGTTGTGAATTACCATCAATATATGGTAAGTTAATAAACCGCAAAACATGAGATAATCTACAGTCGATCGTTAGTAGTAGAGTTTTCCTCAGTAAATGACTACAACTCTGAATATTTCTTTTTTATTCATTCACATTATTTATGAAAAACTGCACTTCTAGTACTTATTTTTCAAAACGTTAAACATTATTTATTTTGTTTTATGTTAAGGATTAGAGGTATGTTCATATTTTTTTTTGCTTGTTCGTATCGGTTTGTACTGACGTGATACCACAATATTTCACATTTTTTTTGTTTTGTTTACGTCTCGTTGTTGATGTTGTTGCTGTCGAAAAATAGACTTTTATTAAGAAATGATAGATAGACTATAATCATAATTGATATTCATATAGCATGATGACCAATGCTATTTTTATGCATTTTTTATTTTTAGTATTTATTTATTATCGTTTTTACTATTTGTAGTCTGCTGTTGAACAACATTTTAGTACTCATAATTGTATTATGTAAAATGGTTCTCTATTTTATAGAACTTGATATTCACTGTCTTGATAATAATAATGTTAATGTGGAGTATTTCGATTGTCCTAGTGTGAATATTACCACAAAACGGGGTGGATGCTCAATGAAAAACATAGTTGTAAGTTAAGATTTGAATATTATAAAATGAATTATGTTAGATCATATGAAGCAGTTCTTTATTTATAGGCTAATAGCATTGTTGTCCATAGTCAATCGGGAAATATAACATGTTCGGGATCAATGCACGGTGCAATTGATTTGAGTACTGAACGAGATGGTGTATGTATGTTTATACTTATCACAGCAACATTTACCTATTGATTTTATCAATATCTTTAGGTTATTAATGCATCAAAACTACAAGGCTCATTTATTCGACTAAAGATGGAAGATGGTACAATTCAAGTGAAAAGTGTTTATTCTGATCATTTTTTAATACAAGGTCGAAAAGGCAATTTATTACTCAGAAAATTACAAGGACGAGGAATAGTTGATCTTAATCGTGGATCTATAAAAATTAGTATGTTGAAAAAAATCTTTTTGTATAATTTATTTTGTTTTCTGTTGTTTTGGGTTAAAGAATCGATGGATGGTGATATTTCTGTTCAATGTGAAATAGGTGATGTTGATGCATTTTTTTCAACAGTTACCGGGTTATCAACAATTCGTGCTCAAAATGGTATGCACATTTGTAGGATTGCTATTTACACTTATATACCTCTCCTGTCCGTATGTAGGTGATGTCCAATTAGGAGTAATTGATACCGTCCCGGTGCATTTAAGTTTAGTGGGTAAGCGTGTACAGATAGCTGAAGAAGCTGAAGGTCAAATGGAAACAACAAAAAAGCGAGGCATGGTACATGCACAAGGTAATAGCATTCATTTAAATATACAATATAGTATTGTACTAAAGATCTTTTTTTTATTTAAGGTTTTATCTCAAGTAAATCAAGCAGTACAATTGATGTTAGTGCACCAAACGGTACTATAGCTCTAAATGTTCGTGATTGGTTCAGTACGATTAAATTGGATAAACATGTTGATTGATTCGTTTTGTAAATCTTGTTTGCTTGTTATTGTTATAAAACTTTTTACGTACACTTGTTTTTTATTTCCAAATAGTTTATATAACACGTTTAAATTTTAAAAAAAAATGGCCACAGTGATAATATTAGTTTTATTTCATTCTAACTGCTTTGTTATATGATGTGCAAATCTTTTTAAGCCAGATATGTGAGTATGTAACATTTCTTTCAGACAATAAGATTATATTCAGATTACAAAAATGTTACCAGGCGCCACAGGTGATGATGCCAAAAAAGTGGCAGATGCTCAAGTGAGAGGAAGCTTTTTCCAGTTTTGTATTGCTGTTGCATTCATTAATTTTGGTAAATGCTTATTTCGAATCAAGTAACTATAAATGCCGTATTTTTTTTTAATTTTCAGCTCCTTATGCATTACAAGCAATATTTGGTGAAGCCGTTCGTTAATCATGAACATTATCAATGAATAGTAAACTTATGAAATAAACTCTTTCAAGATTTAGATTTTCTTGCAGTTTTTGTTCTAACCTGAAATAAACTATTGTGTTTATTGTGATTTTTTCATATTTTGGATTGACAAACGTACTTAAAACAGATAGAGTTGGTTTAATTGATTATCATGGGTTAGCGAAAAGGTAGTACTACTCCAAATGTTTGTAAACTTAATTTCAATTAATTAAGCGTCAAATGTAGCTTGAACGAACGAAAAAAGTTTATAGTCGATCGCTGTGAACGACCATATAAAAGTTCCATCGCTCTTTATATTTTACACACCTTTCAAGTATCAGTATAAAAGATATAGAACTGCTACGAATATCACCTTAATAAATTTTTTTATTATTTTTGCGAGCTTTCGGTGCGTAACTTGCACCATCATCAGCCTGATCGAATAAAAACTTAAATGATTGAGATTATTGACTGACATTTTACTAGACTGCTATATAGGCATGGAACGATAACGATTATCGTTATCGTAGTTATCGTTTCTTACCAATAAAACTGATAAAGTTTCTGTTGCTTGCTAAGCAAAATTAGAATAAAGAAAGTTGCAATGTATACAGTAGACATTTGCCAAGAATCGAAAAGAAATATCTTTTAGATATACACCGTGCATATATGCAAGAAGAGATATCTCCTTATTTGCTATTATCGAAATTTTAAAAAGGCTATCCGGCAGAATGCTTATAACTTTTTAACGAAGATATCTAGCGACCTGTGGTTTTCATCATTTGAAAGAGAAGACCGGGGACGTAAATGTGTGGAAAATTTGATTGGTCCCGCAGTCGACCAATCAGGTGAGTGCTTGGTAGACATTTTGAAATCGATATTCTGAAGACATTTCCCATTTGCTTTTAGCCTGTAATATCACCAGTCGATAGAGAAATCTTTTCTCTTTCAATCTACACAAGGCCGGCCCTCCTAGCTTGTTCCATTCAGGAGCTATAAGCGTTTTCCTAGGAGCCCCGATTTCGGCTATTTGACCTTGAATCACCGCAAAATAGGTCGACATGGTGATAATCGGCCACGCTGAGTCGAGTGGCAATGTTTATTTTCAGTTTCAAAGCGAGATAAATTCATTATATTAAGATTTTTGAAATATCCACTCCGCACACCATTTAGTAGGACAAAGTTGAATTTTTATAAATCTTAATATAATGAATTTATCTCGCTTTGAAACTGAAAATAAACATTGCCACTCGACTCAGCGTGGCCGATTATCACCATGTCGACCTATTTTGCGGTGATTCAAGGTCAAATAGCCGAAATCGGGGCTCCTAGGAAAACGCTTATAGCTCCTGAATGGAACAAGCTAGGAGGGCCGGCCTTGTGTAGATTGAAAGAGAAAAGATTTCTCTATCGACTGGTGATATTACAGGCTAAAAGCAAATGGGAAATGTCTTCAGAATATCGATTTCAAAATGTCTACCAAGCACTCACCTGATTGGTCGACTGCGGGACCAATCAAATTTTCCACACATTTACGTCCCCGGTCTTCTCTTTCAAATGATGAAAACCACAGGTCGCTAGATATCTTCGTTAAAAAGTTATAAGCATTCTGCCGGATAGCCTTTTTAAAATTTCGATAATAGTTCTCTAATGCAAAGAAGAAAAGGAAAAAAAGAGAAAGAATGAATAAAAAACGTTAGAGAAGTGTATGAGTTTATCTTCGCTACAAACTCACTTTCTCTATTCTGACTTTGCTTAGCAAGCGTTAGAAACTTTATCGGTAAGGTATGATAAAAGCGGTAACGATAAACCGATAAATTATCGTTATCGTTGCATGCTTAATATTTACAAACGTGTTCTTTGTTGTAGTTTTTTCCCAGTTATTTCGTATATTCATCATATGTTCAATAGGAGCATACGAATATGTTGGGTAAAGTATTATGTTTTCAAAAAGCGAAGTTCACTGTTACGTTTGATATTAGTTTTCTACAAATCTTTTTGATACATTGTGATGTTAATGTTGATTTTAAGCGGTCAGTTTCAGCTTTCAGATTATCAGGACTAGAAATAACTTGGAAAAGACTAACAAAGAACACGTCTGTAAATATAGTAGTCTAGTAAAAGTCAGTCAATACTCTGAATCAGTTAAGTTTTTATTCAGTCAGCCTGCTGATGGTGCAAGTTACATACCAAAAGCTCGCGACAATAATAAAAAAATTTATTAAGATGATCTTTCGAAGCAGTTCTATATTTTTATACTCGTATTTATTCGTTACTGCTCTTCTCACTGGGTTTTCTTACACCTAAAAGCTTATATGAACAAGTGGCGTTACGATCGAGCGATTTTGTTTCTTTCAAAATGCATTGTATCAATCAAGAAAAGAACAGCAAGAAAGCAGTCTAAACTTCTCAAAAAACAGTGTTAGTAAATATGAGAATACGTAATCGTCACCTATGACGAATGATTCTTCAACAAATTTGGCTGTAGTTGCTTTCTTTTTCAGACATAAAAAGTATGGCGTCATCGAAAATGATTACTCCGCATAAATGTTTGAAAAAACTTGAGTGGTTGATTGGTCATTGGAAATCAGAAAAAGCTGTTATAAAAGGTTGTGGAAACAAAACATTTTCTTATTTATCCGAATTTAAATGTGAAACGGTTGGTCAACCAAATTTAATTTTTCATATCAATGGTTTTAACGTTCAACCACTGGATGCTAGTGATACTGATACATCTACAACATTACAGTGGCCAAATGAATTAAAGCCGTTTCATCGTGAAATGGGCTTTCTACGAGTGAATCCGCAAGATGAAAATGATATGAGATTATCGTACTTAAATTCACAAAACGTTGGTATTACATGTACGGAAGAAGGAGAAATTGATTCGTCTAAGAAAAAATTTACGCTCGAAACAAAAACTATTGAACGTTCGTGTTTTGCTAAAGAGCCACGAGTTGTTAAATTGAAACGTGAATATTTATTAAATGAAAATGATAATAACGTATTAAATGTGACTGTTCACATGAAAACAAGCAAAATGAACGATAATGATGAACCCTATGAGCATTTAGTGATTAAATATCGAAAAACGTCAGATTGAAGCTGAATTATCTTTTTTTAACTGCTATTTTGATACTTTTCTCGAAATAAATGAATTGTGCGAAGGAAAAGGTTCCAGAGGTCGAGGATGACTCTGCGCGTTATAGACACTACTACATTATTGTATACTAAGCATGGCCTAACTCCTATGGGATGAATTCAGGCATAACATTGTGCAGTTAGAAAACTATAGTAAAAGGATGAATGACCAACTCTGAAAATCATTGTCTGCAGAGGCATCGAGCTGCTCGAAATTGATAATTATGCCTTTATTAGCACTCTACGATAACGACAGTCGAATTGGGGGGGGGGGGGGGGGGGGTTTGACCCGAGGGTGGGGGGGGGGTTTTTTTATTGTTGGGGCGGGGGTTTTGTTCAATGGGTG